CAATATCCTGCATAAGCCCACTTCTCCCTTATATTTACGTGAGCGATTCTCTTTCATTCATTCTCCTGATGCTCCCTGCAGGTCCAACCAACGTTCTGTCTTGTTATTCCCTTCCCACAAAACCAATTTCTATTCTCACTCCTTTACTGTGCACGCGGTCAGACTGTGGAATTCGCTGCCGGCTGACATCCGAGTTTGCAAGTCTGTTTCTGTTTTTAAATACAAGGTCAAACAATTTTATCTCTTATCAACCGAATGATCATGGTTCTATACTCTTCGTATATAGGTACGAGTGTTACTGTGTTACTTATAATATTTTGTATTCAAGTTTAACAATATTTGCTATGTGTATGTGCATTACTGTAATTCTCATGTTGTATTTGTCATTTTAGTTATGTGTTATTTGTTCTACACACACTCATGACTTTTAATTATTATTCTCATAATCCTCTCGCAGGTCTGCTGGAAGAGATTTCTTAAAGAAATAAGGAGTGCCTTTGTACATAATTTTCCTATTACTTTGTACTATGTCATCTTTTCTGTGTGTACATAAATAAATAAATACATATTTACATACGATTAAATATAAACACATATCGATAATGAACACCAGACATAAAGCAAAAAAACTGTCCATCATCCACGAATCGAACCACGGCCTAACAGTCAGGGCCGTTAGTAAACAAAGTAATAAAATGAGTATCATACCCTTGCTGCATAACTCAGACTGCAGCAAGAGTATCGACAAGCAACTATGAAACAAATTCGCGGCTCAACCAATCAAATCAGGCTATGAACAGTTACTTAGTCAATGAAATAAATATTTTTCACCCATGCAACAGCCCGCTGATTTTCACGCCGGATCTTCTCAGCGGGTTGCGATTCCGATCCGGTAGTAGATTCATTCGCGAGGCGGCTGCTCTTCAGTTGTTGGGTCTCCTTCGGAGGCACTCGAGCAGCTGTTAACAAATCTCACCTCTCCTGGCTGAGCCTTTGCTCGCCTAATTGTCCTGGTGAAACTGAAAGGCCTCCGGGCCACCAGTAAATCTTCAATCAAAAAATTTACAATGGTTTAATACAAATTTACAAGGTATAAAGAGTGTAATGTAATCCTACATATAACTAATAAAATCTACACTGGAGTCTGCGGAGAGAGAATGGTCTCTGAAAGAAGTAGCTCCCTTTGCAACGCCATCAGGTAGTCTGACGTGTAGCGAGGGAGCATTGTGAAGATGCTGAAAGCTGTTTTTGGCCTACGCTTCCACAACTGGAGACTACTGTTTACCTTGCCATGACCAAATTTAGACCAAACGTCGTAACGCAATTTTGAAGTCGTCGTGCCCTAAAGCACAAGACAAGGGGTACATTCGTATTGAACTTCTCTTTTCCTACCTATTCTAGTGACCTTGAGAGTTCATATGTAGTAGTTTTCGTTACAACGTTTTACCATCAAGTGGTCTGGCGTGTGGCGAGGCAGCATTGTGAAGATGCTGAAAGCTGCTTTTGGCTTGCTCATACATGCTATGGGCCAGCGCTTCCACAAGTCGAAACTACTGCTTACTTTTGCCATCACCAGACTTTACCAAACGTCGTAACGCAATTTTGGAGTCGTCGTGCCATAAAGCACAAGACGAGGGGTACATTCGTATTGAACTTCTTTTTTCCTACCTATTCTAGTGACCTTGAGAGTTCATATGTAGTAGTTTTCGTTGCAACGTTTTACCACCAAGTGGTCTGGCGTGTAGCGAGGCAACATTGTGAAGATGCTGAAAGCTGCTTTTGGCTTGCTCATACATGCTATGGGCCAGCGCTTCCACAAGTCGAAACTACTGATTACTTTTGCCATGACCAGACTTGGACCAAACGTCGTAACGCAATTTTGAAGTCGCCGGGCCTAAAGGACAAGACGACGGGTACATTCCTATTGAATTTAATTTTTTCTACCTATTCTAGTGACCTTGAGAGTTCATATGTAGTAGTTTTCGTTGCAACATTTTACCACCAGGTGGTCTGGCGTGTGGCGAGGGAGCATTGTGAAGATGGTGAAAGCTGCTTTTGGCTTGCTCGTACATGGTACGGGCCTGCGCTTCCACGAGTCGAGACTACTGTTTACTTCTGCCATGACCAGACTTGGACCAAACGTCGTAACGCAATTTTGAAGTCGTCGTGCCCTAAAGGACAAGACAGCCGGTACATTCGTATTGAACTTCTTTTTTTCTACCTATACTAGTGACCTCGAGGGGTCTAGATTCACCGAGCGGGTAGGCGAGCTCACGGGGCTCTAACCTGGGACGTTGCTAGTACTAGCCCTAGCAAGAGCAGTGCTAAAATCGACTCTGCGAAGCACTGATTTTGTTCTACAACCGGATCAGGAACGCGACCCATTGGGAAGATCCGGCGAGAAACTCAGTGGACTGTGTCTTTGGGTTAAATGTATTGAACGATGAGAATATGTCGGTGTTTGAATCCCGCAGACAGGTAGGTACAATTTTTTCTAATCAAACACGTTTTTAACAATTCACGATTGACTTCCACGGTGAAGGAATGATATCGTGTAATAAAAAACAAATATATATTAATACCTATATAATAATTTGCGTATTACTGGTGGTAGGGCGTCTTGCAAATCCGAACGGGTAGGTACCACCACCCTGCTATTTCTGCTGCAGTAATGCGTTTCGGTTTGCAGGATAGGGCAGCCGTTGTACTGAGAATTAGAACTCAGGTTTCAAGGTTGGCGGCAGTAAGGTGGCTGATGTTTATGGATTCCGGTGACCGCTTCCTGCTAGTTAAACCGGGAGCTCATACATCTATCTAAGCAATAAAAAAGATTAAAGTTTTACATTGTTATGTCTATGGCCCATAATGTACGCCTCTAAAACAATCTTAGTTCGCTTTAAGAGAATTCGTATTACAAAACAAAGGATCATCGAAAAAAAGGTAAGTGCCTAAATTAGTTTTCGTTGACTTGTGCAGTTCACAGAATCGATAAGCAGAGCTATAAACACTCTTAGACACATCAGGGCAGTATTTCGTTACAGAAATGCCTAAATTGTTAAAGAAATAAGCAGTGCCTTTGTACATAATTTTCCTATTACTCTGTATTATGTCTTCCTTTTTGTGTGTACATAAATAAATAAATAAATAAGAGATAAATAATATTTTTTTTCGTTTTGCGCATTTTAAACGGTGATTACATAAAAATACACGTCCGAATTTGGTTTATATTGTACGATGCCCCAATTTCATATCGGAAGTCTGTCCATGAGTATGTAATGCATCATCGGCTAGATGATCGTGATTACTTGTTCAGAAAAACCTGTGCTTATCTCAGGATTTCAATTAAGTTTGGATAATTTTAAAAAGAACGAAATAACTTTTGTAAGTTTGGTCCTTCTCAAATTATATTTCCGATTTTTATCGAAATATACTACTGAATTTTTCTCATCTAACAAAAGTCTTAATTGTTTACGCCACAAAGAAGCGAATTAAATTAATCTAGTTGCAAATATACATTACTGGTGGTAGGACCTCTTGTGAGTCCGCACGGGTAGGTACCACCGCCCCGCCTATTTCTGCCGTGAAGCAGTAATGCGTTTCGGTTTGAAGGGTGGGGCAGCCGTTGTAACTGTACTGAGACCTTAGAACTTATATCTCAAGGTGTGTGGCGCATTTACGTTGTAGATGTCTATGGGTTCCAGTAACCACTTAACACCAGGTGGGCTGTGAGCTCGTCCACACATCTAGGCAATAAAAAAAATACTCTACACAAATCTCAATATTGCAGTTGTTAAGGTCGAATCCCACTTATAGTAGTTCAGCTTCTCAAACAAGAACATACTGGCGACGAAGCTAACCAGACGGTCCCAAATATCCACTCTTCGACACTTAACCCGAAATGCCCTTGAATAAACCTATTCCTGAAATAAGTCCCTGTGACTTTTGAAGTTGTCAAACATATCGAATGAATTATTATTGTTATAATTGCTTACATACCAATACTGTATAGGATCAGGGGTTACGTTGTTAGTGTTGGGACGTCGATTTGTGCTATGGATGTCTTTCTTATTGACGAAATCCCACAGATTTTAAATTTTTTATGGAAGTTATAACACAGCGATGTAAAATGTCCAAATTACTCATAACTGATATTGAAATACGAATATGATGAACAGTAGCAAAAATTCTCATCTGATTCATACACCCATTTTTTTGTTATTGCGTAGATAAGCATTCAGACCGCTTATTTACAGCATAAAATTAATTGACGTAATATTTTCTTCGGTTTTCGCGAGACGTAAACGTAAAAGGAAATAACATAATAACAATATTAAACATGATATTAAACTAGTACGCACACATGCACGCACACATGCACACACACACACACACATACATACATGTAGATTAGAAGTTGTGAAGTGAAAATTAATAAAACTAGTGGTCCCCACAGTAGTCGAAATTCGACTATAATTAACTGAAATTTTAAGTTTGTACATTATTATGGCTCTATTGTTAAAGACTATTAAACTTCTATAATCACAGATTTTGCCAAGACTAACTACACTGTAAACAAATAATATTAAAGACAAACAATATTAATCTATTCTCAATTTGACCACAGACTATAAACAATAAAAGTTTGACAATAAACAAAGAGTATATGCGTAAGTGTGTCAAATACATAGCAGTGTGCGTAATGCTTTTTATATTGATTTAATGTAGTATTATTAATGCATAATTAAAAATAAATTTTAACATTCTGCACTCCTTCTCTATATTCTCTATAAGTGTGGAAAATTTAATACCCCTCCGTCCGTGCACTTTTCGTAAAAAGGGGTACAAAGTTTTTGCTTCACGTATTAATATAATATAGATATCGATCGAAATATCGACATGCGTATTATATCGATACCACAATGTCCCTATACGTTGTTACATAGGCTTCGTAATTCCTATGAATACGATATCGTTCGCCCAGTTACTCCCGCGGAGGCAACAGGAAATATAATGTGTGTTTAAATTTAATTTAATTATTGTCAATAATTAATTTTTTAACTAATCATGACAACTATTGAGAGATGTTGTTATTGTGCTCCGTTGAAACAAGCCGCCATTCTGATAGCACTAGGAAGTACGGTGAGTTTTGAGGAAATACAATTAACTTTTAAAAACTTTCATAAACATTACTGGTGGTAGGACCTCTTGTGAGTCCGCACGGGTAGGTACCACCGCCCCGCCTATTTCTGCCGTGTAGCAGGAATGCGTTTCGGTTTGGAGGGTGGGGCAGCCGTTGTAACTATACTGAGACCTTAGAACTTATATCTCAAGGTGGGTGGCGCATTTACGTTGTAGAAGTCTATGGGCTCCAGTAACCACTTACCACCAGGTGGGCTGTGAGCTCGTCCACCCATCTAAAAAATTAAATAATTAAAAAAAATCATTTGTATTTGAGTGAGAACAAAATTAAGATTATAATAGCATATCTATACTAATATTATAAAGCTGAAGAGTTTGTTTGTTTGAACGCGCTAATCTCAGGAACTACTGGTCCGATTTGAAAAATTCTTTCAATGTTAGATAGCCTATTTATTGAGGAAAGCTACAGAATCACGAATATAGAATCACGGTAAGACCAATACAAGTGGAGCACCAATAAAGAATGTTTCAAAAATAGGGGTTTAAATAGCTTCCTTAACATTCTATAATTAAAAAATATTTTCACTTTCTACGTAAATAAAGTGTGGGATAAAATTTAGCGTTATGCCAAAGTAACTATTTCACGCGGACGGAGTCGCGGACAAAAGCTAGTTATTTATAAAATAGAATTATGTCGCATAAATACAATAGTACATTCTTATTCATTAATACTAATTATAAATTGCTATAAATTAATTCCAGAGAACACATTAATAAAGAGAATTATATACTTAATTGATATTTAATCGAAGTCCTGCAGTTTTGTATTTGTTAGAAATAAGCCAGTCAAAGCTCTGGGTATCTGTAATATTGTTTTTAACACATATACAATGTTTTTATTGTCGTATTTGTGAAGTCATAGGATCCGCAATCAAAGCGCTCCACAACTAATAAACATCATAATATTTTCCGCAAGCCGTGTTCCTTCTAATCTATATTAAAGTGCCATTATTTTTCATGAAATAATTAATGCATAAAGTAAATAATTATTTAGATTTATTTAAAGTACATTATTTTATTACATTATCATACGATTCAGAACGATGACAGCGTTTTTGAGTTAAATAAGCGACTAAATATATGAAGTTTTAGCTTTAGCAGTCGTTGTGGAAGTCGGTACAGACTTGGAGCCCTAACAGAATAAGTCAGTGTTGAGGAACGCCTTCATTAAATCAACACAGGTGGTGTTCACGTCATTACGGATCCTCCTGATCCATTAACGGTGCTTATAGGTACCGCAAGCAGCGGTCACCGTCCTCGTCGAACCCTTCACTTGCGACGAAGGGCTCGACGAGCGCATTAACCCACAGACACAGCCCACGAGTTTCTCGCCGGATCTTCTCAGTGGGTCGCGTTTCCGATCAGATGGTAGATTATGCGAAGCACTGCTCTTGCTGGGGCCAGTGTTAGCAACACTCCAGTTTGAGCCCCGTGAGCTCACCTACACGCTAGGGCGAAGCTGAAATAGCCTCTCAAGGCTATCAGCATAGGTAGGATAAAAAAAAACACGTGTGGCACTCGGAGACTGCCGCGGTAAAGCTATTGCATAGCATTTTTTATCAACTTATGCAATTATAAATCGACAATAATAATTTAATATTAAAACAACAATAAAATAAGACCACGCTATATTTATAAACATTAACAAAAGCAAAACATTAACTGTCCCCTTCACACTCATAACCTAGACCGCGCGAGGGAGAGATGGGCAGACTTTTCATGATGTGCATGCGGCAGTGCGACGTCACGCCGCGCGCTTATTCACAAACACTACACAAGCGCAACGTGTGAATGTGTTGAACGCGAGCTACATAGTAGGCGTAGTGGTGGTGTCAGGTTATTTTCGTTACGGAATTTCTTGATTCAGTCGCCGCGCTCAAGGCCCGCGATAGAAGCTATGCAATAGCTTAAAAAAACCGATTGGTGACTTAAATTGAGGGTGTGATAAATTGATTAATTGATGTAAAGATGCAAGAGAAATAATTGATATCTAAGGTTTTGGCCATTCAACCTGCCATTCGATCGGAATCGCGACCCACTGAGAAGATCCGATAAGCAATTCAGTGGGCGTATCTTTCTCTATCCTCCTATCTAATAATAATCTATCATTGTAGCGACAATGCGCCAGTTTTTAGGGTTAAAGACTGAAGTGCGACAAAAAATATCTTTAAAGGTCGAAATGTCTACCCATCTCCTTATTGTGGTACATAAAACTACAATCTAGATTTAGACTTCATGTCACAAGGTGGCTGTTAGATCTGGTGACCCGTTAAGATCAGGCCGTCAGATCGTCCATAAACCGTAAAAAAAATATACCTGTTATTTATTCCACGCGCACCTTAAAATCGTATATATTAACAATCAATTGTCTTTTTATCTGGAAACCTTTTAAAAACGTAGAACACAATTTTGTGTCATGACCATAGTTTTTTTTTTTTTTCGTACAATTTTTCCTTATGACCATAGATTATACACTTAATAAGTCATGACATTTTATCCCTCAATCTGACAGACTGTCTTTTTTCTTAGGGATGTCTCCCGTTGCTAGTGCTGTGTGTGAAAAAAACATATATTAATGTTTATGTACAAATCAAACTTACTTCCAGATAATTTCGACGATCGGTTCCGTAGTTATGACACTGTTTACTGTGAAAATATACGAAGATGACGAAAAAAGGTAAATATATGAAGCTTTCTATCATTAAGATTATTTTTTAAGGTATTTATTACTGATGGTAGGACCTCTTGTGAGTCCGCGCGGGTGGGTACCACCACCTTGCCTATTTCTGCCATGAAGCAGTAATGCGTTTCGGTTTGAAGGGCGGGGCAGCAGTTGTAACTATACTTGAAACCTTAGAACTTATATCTCAAGGTGGGTGGCGCATTTACGTTGTGGATGTGTATGGGCTCCAGTAACCACTTAACACCAGGTAGGCTGTGAGCTCGTCCACCCATCTAAGCAATAAAAAAAAAGACCTGGTAACTAAGACCTTTAGGTCAAGTCTTTTCTTATTTAGTTTTATTTTAATCTATCATTAAGATGCGACTGGATTACTTGAAGTACGGAGAAAACAACGAATTGCCATACTCATGATTTATTCGATTTCATAGGGTTTTTTTACTACAGTATAATATTCTTAAAGGAATTTACAAAGTGGTTATCCGCCTCGTGAAGGCCGCCATCCAAAATTATACCGGGTTAAAGTTGCAAACCGTGCCTACCGTCACATAAATTATCTATCTCATAGCCTTTACTGGTGGTAGGACCTGTTGTGAGTCCGCGCGGGTAGGTACCACCGCCCTGCCTATTTCTGCCGTGAAGCAGTAATGCGTTTCGGTTTGAAGGTTGGGGCAGCCGTTGTAACTATACTGAGACCTTACAACTTATATCTCAAGGTGGCTGGCGCATTTACGTTGTAGATGTCTATGGGCTCCAGTAACCACTTAACACCAGGTGGGCTGTGAGCTCGTCCAACCATCTAAGCAATAAAAAAAAAAGCCTACTCGCTATTTCCTTATAACTTTTGAAGCAAATTGGAGTTCCCTATAATGGCAGCACTAGAGGAAACAATGTGAAAAAACATGGCCATCGCGGGCGCATCACATATTTCTCTGTATTTCGGCGTCTAAAACTGTCAATTGTATAACATCATATAAATAATTGTAGAGAAGGGTAATCGGCTTTTAATTTATAATGGGTCTCCTTCCATTACATTGAACATTCGGCGAAAGGATTGATTATTTTGTCTATTTCCCTGTTTTAAGAAATCTACAGCCACAGCAAATAGGAACTTTACAGTAATATTAGACGAAATCCATGGAAGTCCCTAGTTTAGTTTCTTTTTTATGTTTGGGAGATTACTGGTGGCCCGAAGGCCTTCCAGTTTTACCAGGGCAGGTGGGCGAGTAAGTGCTCAGCCAGGAGGGATGGTATTTGTTAACAGCTACCCGAGAGCTTCCAAAGGAAACCTAAGCACTCAATAGTAGCTGCTTCGCAAATGAATCTACTACCGGATCGGAATCACGACCCGCTGAGAAGATCCGGCGAGAAACTCGGCGAGCTGATTCATGGGTTAGGTTGCACGTCGAACTCTTTGCCGAGTTTGGCGAGTACGGCTGCCGGGGTCCCTATTCCTAGTGTTAGAGCTAAAGGTTTCTAATGCAAAGGTTATTGGATCTGATGGATCCGTAAGGACGTGTCTAGGGCGTCGACGGTGACTGGCTCCTGCGTGATCAGGATTCGGGGAGTAGTCAGCAGCGGCATCGATAAGGCGATTATCATGACGCATAGCCTTATTGAAGTACCGTTCCGACGCTGATTCATGTGTTTGCGGATTGATTCGAGGCTCAGGTCGTCGTGTAGGTCAACGCTCCTCACGAACCACGGAGCTCCATCGGCTAGCCTGCAAAAGCGGGATTGGCGGGTGTCTATGCGTGTGCGGGTTGTGTGAGCGAATATCACACTCGCGTAAGTCATGACGGGCCTTATGCAAGTTTTGTAAAGTGTCACCTTATTCCGAAGGGACATTTTACTCCGCTTACAGATCATGGGGTAGAATCTGCCGAGAAGAAACGCGGCACGGTCGCGGACTGATTTTATATGGGGGCGGAATGTATGAGTTGGCTGAAGAGGGTAATCGTGGTTGTGAGATTTCTCCTCCTAATCCGGGAGGAAAACCGTGTGAAGCTTACCCTAAGAAATAAAACCGCTGTGCTTTTCGCTGGGTTGCTGTCTATGTGCCATTTTCGGAACCGCTGTCCTAAGGTTACGGCTGCGCTTTGGAGTTTCCTCGCGATTAAGAACTTGTTTCTACTCGAGTAGTAAACGGTCGTTTCGTCGGCGAATAAGGCTAACTGGGTCGGTGGCGACCGGGGAATGTCGTTAATAAATATACTAAATAGGAGCGGCGAGCTAGTTTAGTAAACAATACACCCGTTGTATTTTTGTGATCAAAATATATGATTTCTCGTAGTCGGTAGCTAGTTTTACATTAAAAATACGAATTATATTAGTACTGAAGGAAGTTGGCAAATCCTACTAATCTGACTGTACTTTATGCTCATGATTACTACAAGCTACATTCAGGGTTCGACTTTAAAAAATACGCAACAAAATATTAGCACTAAGCAATGTAAAAAAAAATTATAAATCTGATTGCGCTTTTTGCTTTAAAAGGATTTACATTATTTACAATGACAAATAATTTACAATGAAAACACAGAGGCGCACATCCTGAATTAAAATATTTTGCGCCTCATTTGAGAAATGAATTTTTTTTTTATTGCCCTTCTAGGCAGACGGGCATACGGCCCACCTGATGGTGAATGTTTACCGTCGCCCATGGACTTCAGCAATGCGAGGGGCATAGCCAAGCCGCTGCCTACCGCTAACTGAAAACATATCTTGAATTAAAACGCTTTGTTTATATACAAAATATTTTTTTCAGTTCCATTACAGAAGGGAATATCTTTAACGGCTTTCTTAACGTGGAAATTAAGAGGAATGCAATGGAAGCTACTCTGGCTGTCTGCCTCGTCTTCTTTGTACTGTGGATGCTCTTCTCTTGGTTGCTACTCGTTGGACTCTTCAAAGTAGGTTTTTTAAATGCTCTGTATATTGTAATCGCATAAGTTTCTTTACATGAATGAATTGATACCAAAATCCTGTTTATTTCTGCAGCCTAGTAGTTTTCCGTTCCAACTTGCATACGACGAGCATACGGCCCGCCTGATGGTGAGTGGTTACCGTCGCCCATGGACTTCTGCAATGTCAAGGGCAAAGCCAGGCCGCTGCCTACCGCTACAAACAGCCGGTAAACGATATAATTGAGTCTTCGACTTCATCTCTCTAGGTAGCCGAAGGCATTTTTGTTATCATAAATATATCGTCTTTTCGCATTAAAAGTGTACAATTTCCAAAAATATTCGAAATTGAGTTAATATGCGGAATCATTTAGTATCACCAGTGTTTTTCTCATAAATACTGTCAAAAGAGCGTAGTTTCGTTTTTTTTTTAGTTTGCCTATATTTTGGGTACTATTAACACAATTAATACATAATTTTATCTTACTTTAAAAGACAGATCATGTAACTGGTAAAAGATAAAAAATAAATGTTGCAAAGATGATTAATATTAAAAATATCACAATATGTTAAACCTTTAAAACACTCTCCTGTAAAATTAGTAAGTTTTGAGATTATACAGTTTTAATGCGAGAAGACGACATGTTATGCGCTTCGGCAACCACTTACCACAAGGTAGGCCTTGTGCTCGCTCACCCAGTAAATACATATTAGTAAATTTGTTTGTTCGTATTCTATGCACATGTTTATCTAATTATGTTGAAACATTTCCATTTCCTGTTAGTCCTTCAATGTGATTTACTAGCATACTGGACAAGTGATGGGCTAGTCAAATAATAAAAGTTCATCTTTACCTTCAAGACAAATTATGGAAGAGGTTAATTAGGAAGTTCACCGGGAGCATTCTGTTTAAATAATATATCTTGGATTGTATCCTTGTCCAGTGTTTTTCCTGCATCAAATCTTATGTCTTTCCTAGATCAAATCAAATTGAAGTTACGGCGTCCGCACGATATCTAGGTTTTTAATACGCTTTTATTAGCTTCAGATGTATGTATGTTTGTAATGGAATCTTTGAACATGATTTTGACCCCCTTCAAAACGTCGGATTAACTCGAAATTTGGTATACTTATTAAGGACCGATGACAATTAAAGAATTAAAAAAAAACTGAGAAAATTGAAATTCACCTAAAATAATTTATATAAATAATAGTTTTAAAAAAACTAAAAAAAAATATACTTTTACAGAAATTCCAACTAAAGAATAGAAAATAAATATAAATAAATTTGAATTAAAAATAGTGTAAGAAAAAAATATTTTATTGTAAAAAGCGTGGGGTGCTTTTCAGGATATTATCAAAATAACCTTTCTACTCATATCTGTTCATAAAATATTTATATCTATTGATACCATGCACACCGCGCTTTTTTTTAGTTGGGTTTTCTATAAAAGCGTATTTTGTTGTTTTTTTTAACTATTATTTATTAATATCTCTCCTCAAGGGAGATACAAACGTGACCTAATTTAAAACTCTATTCAAGTGTTGATATTGCTATAATCTCCATTACAGAACAAACCGTGCTTAGTGCTCAGCTATTTTTCCTACGGGATAATATTGACTATAATGTTACAACTGGGCGCATTACTGTTACTCCTAAACCTGTATTGGATCCACGCTTTTAGCCTTACCACGGCTTCAAGTGAGTACTGTGTTATTTCTGTTCTAATTACTATTTCTATCTAAAGCCGTCATGCGTTCTGGCGTAGAATGAATGTTTACTACGGTCTTTTTAGTCTAAAATGAATTTTCAGCCTAATAAGTTTCTCGCCGGATCTTCTTAGTGGGTCGCGATTCCGATCCGGTGGTAGATTCTCTTGCTGGAGCTAAAATTATAGAACTCTGTCGGGTTGAACACACGAGCTCACCTACCCGTCCGGGCGTAGCTGAAATAGCCCCTTTAAGCTATCAGCGAATAGGTAGGAGAAAAAAAGAAACTTTTATATCATGCACTGGACTGGTAATAGTATTAGCACACTGTATCCCATTATATCCCAAGGTGGGTGTAAGCTGCGACCGCTTATCCCATTGAATATCTTGCCATAAATAGTTTTTCTGCTAAGCCAATAAAAGTTATAGACCCATGGCGTCTAATACAAAAGTTAGAAGCCAGTGAGTAATACCTAATATCCATTATGTACTATGTAATAGGTTTTTATTTATTTATAGCTTAGATGGGTGAACGATCTCACAGCCTACCTGGTGTTGAACGATTACTGGAACCCATAGACATCTTCAACGTAAATACGCTACCCACTTTAGGATATAAGTTCTAAGATCTCAGTATAGTTACAACTGCTGCCCTATACTCTTCAAACCGAAACGAATTACTGCTTGACGGCAAAAATAGGCAAGGCGGTGGTACCTATCCGCGCGGACTCACAAGTGATCCTACCACCAGTAATTACGCAAATTATAATTTTGCGAGTTTGATTTTTATTACACGATGTTATTCGTTCACCGTGGAAGTCAATCGTGAACGTTGGTTGAGTACGTATTTCATTAGAAAAATTGGTAGCCGCCTGAGATTCGAACACCGGTGCGTCGCTCAACACGCATGCACCGGACGTCTTATCCATTAGGCCACGAGGACTTCAAACATGCTTGTATAATTGCTCGGAATTAATATGGTCATCTGAATGTTTTGTTTCAGTTTTCTACGCATACGTGCTCAGAGTAGTGCATGCAATTTACGAGGAAATGAACGCTGGAAAGCTAATATTTAATGAAAATTTCGACGATTCATTGACCGATATGACTGTGCTCATCGATGAAGACGACGCATAGACATGATTATTTATTAAAAACCACCGAATTTCACTTTTCGGTTCGTATCATGCTTTCATGTTAACAATTCTGACAATTCGAATGCTTAGATTAAATAGAGGTCCCGCAGTAGTCGAAATTCGACTATAATTAATTGGAATTCTAAGTTTGTACACTATTATGATTGTATTTTATAATCACAAAATTTCGCCAAGACTACACTATATTAACAAAGACAAACAATATTTAATCTCAATTTGACAACAGACGTCAAGAACAAAAGTTTCACAATAAATAGTATGCATGCGTGTGTACGTCAAAAACATGGTATGTAGTGTGTGTAATGTTTTCTTTATTGATTTAATGTATATTTTATGCATTATTTAAAAAAAATATTAACATTGTGCACTTCTTCTCTATATTCTCTATAAGTGTGTAAAATTTCATACTCCTCCGTCCGCGCAATTTTCGTAAAAAGGGATACAAAGTTTTTACTTCACGTATTAATATATAGATAATTCTGACAATTCGAATGCTTTAATAGTTTTAGTGCTCATTCAATTTATTCACAATAATATCTCGGTCAAAGTTTTTGAATTCATTTCATTGTCACTTATAAGCACGCGCGTACGCAGCACACCGCTAACTCTCCGACGCATCGTGCTGTCTCGCTACTCAACGGCTTGCTAGCCTATGCTCCGGAAGTGGATATATTCCATGATGGTTTGCAGCGATTTATTGTTGTTGTTAGGAATTACTTAAGCTAATTATTAATATCTTATAAATGTTTTGGTTCATACTGTTAATTTGTAAGTAGATTAAATAAATAAATAAGAGATAAATAATTAAATGATCAATACCAAACTGTACGGTATAAATTGCTTTTCTTTACAAAAGTAAAAACCAATTGCTGTTGTCATTACGTCATTTGTTGTAGACTAGTGTTGTAGGATTAAACTAAATTTATTAAATGTGTATGGAAATGAATGTTTCTAATTTTCCGTATTTAATGTTGTGATGTCTATCCGCCTTCGACAACGGCCCACCGGGTAAGTGGTCAATGGATCCTATAGAATCAACAACGGAAATATCTGCACCAATCTAGAGACGTGAGTTGAGTCTCAGTTTTACAGTAAAACGGCTGCCCCATCTTTAAAACCGAAACGCATTGCTGCTTCACGCAGAATAGGCAGGGTGGTGGTACCTACCCGTGCGGACTCAAAAGTCGCCCTACTTCACAATTCAGTCATCTATACTAATATATAAATCTACAGTGTTTTTTACGGATGTTCCATTATAACTACTGAGCCATGCACCCGATTGAATTGAAACTTAGTATCCATATAGAAAATACATGTACTTAATGGATAGGCTAATATTTATATGAGTGTTGGTCTCCCTAATGATAATGACAATAAATAATAATGTTAATTTTAAATGCTCAGCGAAGCGGGCGAGTACGGCTAGTCATTATATAAAATGAAGAGACGGATAAATTTTTTATAATCCAGTCATAAATTCCGCGAAGCACCGCTCTTCCTTGGGCTTGTGTTAGTAAATTCTCTCAGGTTGATCCTCGCCAGTTCACGCATCGGTCCACGCGTGGTTGGAATAGCCTAAGGATACTAGCGAATAGGTAGCAGAAAAACCCTATATACTGCTATCAGTAGTTGGGGAAAATAAAAAAAATAGATAAGCCTTAAGCATGCTCATTAATACTAATAAAAAAAATCATAATCAAATAAAACCATAATCATAGTTTTATAAGATTTAATAATTTCTTTTTTTTTTCAAAACTTTAATCACAGTATATCCACCAACATTTATATATACGTTTGTCATTAAAAAACAAGGGACTTGAATAAAATATTTTAAAATAGCATCACTCTCTATCTACTTATATTTTTAATTATATATACATTTAGATATTTAGAGAACTTAATTGTTAATTATTAGCCCGTTTACAATGTTAAACATCATCAGAGCGGTTTTTTAGCCTCGAATACAATATAGGATTTTGATTTACCTACACAAAACATTATCGTCTGGTACACAAATCTAATGCAGTTAATTAATACGTTGCTAATTTTATTTAGACGTCTTCGCGAGTGTTGAGTTGCTTGTAGAAACTGTGGCTCAGCAGAATAGCGTATATATTTAAACCTGAAATTTGAACAGATAATGTTGTTTAATGTGTAGCTTAAAACTTCTAAGATCTCGTGTAGTTGTTGTTGTAGTCCTAGGATACCCCATTAGTACATAGGGCCCTCACAAGTTGTCTCCACTTGACCCTGTCTTGTGCTTGCTCCTTAACATCACTCTAGATCACGTCGGCAGTCCTCATCTCAGACCAGGCCTTCTCCTGCCAAGCGATTGCCACTGAAACGCGATTGATGCTGCGTTGACTCCGCTGCGCCGTAGAGTGTGGCCCATCCAACTCTATTTCCGATGGGCAATGTCTTGCGCGATAGGGTTTTGGTCACATTTAGTCCAAAGATCTCGTGTGCTCAACCCAAACTGACAAACCCGAGCAGCTCTATTTAAACAAGTAATTAGCAATTATTTATACTAGTTTTACGTTTAAATCGGTCGTTTATTAGTTCCTCTCAATAATTCCATAACACAGGGAATCCTAAATTGAGGCCAGATGACCGTGTGTGAATTGATTGATCCCAATTATTAATTATTATTTCTAATGAATAAGCACTTTATAGTTTCCGTTGCCACGGAGGACAGGAGTTTAATTCGATTAAATTTGGGATTTGGAATATACTAAATATTGCATATAGCATTTATTATTGCTTAGGTTGGTGGACGAGCTCACGGCCCACCTGGTGTTAAGCGGCTACCTGAGCCCATAGACATCTACGACGTAAATGCCAGTTAGTTTTAAATTAGCTCGCGTATACTATTACAAAATTGATGTCACAAGTGTCCGCCGTGTCGGGCAGGATATATATATATATTTTTTTATTGCTTAGAAAGGTGGACGGGCTTACAGCCCGCCTGGTGTTAAGTGGTTACTGGAGCCCATAGACATCTACAAAGTAAATGCGCCACCCACCTTGAGATATAAGTTCTAAGGTCTCAGTAAAGTTACAACGGCTGCCCCGCCTTTCAAATCAGATATAGGCAGGGCGGTGTTACCTACCCGTGCGGACTCACAAGAGGTCCTACCACCAGTAATAACGCTAATTATATTTTTGCGGATTTGATTTTTACTACACAATGCTATTCCTGAAGGAAGTCAATCGTGAACATTTGTTAAATACGTATTTCATTAGAAAAATTGGTACCCGCCTGCGGGATTCGGACACCGGTACATCGCTGGATACGAATGCACCGGACGTCTTATCCTTTAGGCCACGACGACTTCAAAGCCGTCAAAAACGTCCAACATGACATGCCTCTTTGTACACAGAAGGAGCTAATAAGCCGCTGGTGTTTCCGGATACCCCGTTGCATCAGTACCAAACTACCGGTTCGTTTCGCGACTTATTACCAGCGATGACTCTTTATTTCCAAATCGCCGGCACACTACAGCGATGTTAGCACACCGCGCCACTTTGAGCCGTCATTGGATTAAGTTGCCGCGTCTGTAAGAGCTGGGCGCCACTCCTTCTTCATCCCCCTTTCGACGGCAACGGATCAGTACGGAGACAGCACCAGAGCAGATTCGTGCTCCGCCATTCGATAATTCACACCCTCAAGCATACATTACTAACTTACCAATATAAAAAACTTCCAAGACAATAGTCGAAGTATTGAAATCAAGACAGTTGAGGAAGAACACGGAGACCGACAGAAAGAAGAACACAGCCCACATGATGAAGTAAGCTTTAACGATTCCGGCTCGTTCCTGAAATATCGAAAGATCAAATATTGTACCAATATTCATGGCTCTTACAATGTTACTGACGAAGGTTGTACTACTTTTTTTTTAATTGCTTTTTGGGTGGACGAGCTCACAGACCCCTGGTGTTAAGTGGTCACTGGAGCCCATAGACATCTAAAACGTGAATGCGCCACCCACCTTGAGAAAGGTCTCAATAGTTACAACGGCTGCCCCACCCTTAAAACCGAAACGCATTACTGCTTCACGGCAGAAATACGCAGGGTGGTGGTACCTACCCGCGCGACAAGAGGTCCTACCACCAGTAATTACGCAAATTAAAGAATGTCAGAAGAATGTCAAAGAGATGGTGCAAAAGAATGCCAAAGCTCTAAGTACTACTTTTTAATAAGCAATTTGGATAGTCTAGACTCTGAGGCGCCTGTATTCGGCCTTGAACTAGCTGTGAGCGGCCTAGTACATAATTTACATTTGAATAGGGTTCCAGGGTGACTATTAAAAGCATTTGGAAGTGTTCTGTTAACAGATGCCAGAAAAAGTATATACAAGTCTACCTCCTAAGCCATCCTAAAATACTGCGTTCCAAACATCTCCGTAAAATCCAGCTCGTGATCCCATCACTCACCATAACCACGCCGTACACGAAGACCAGATCAAAGATGAACTTGGCCAAGAACATGAGGGTCAGGATGATGGCCATCACGTAGAGGCCGGTCAACCGAGCCTCGCGCTCCACATCTATGTATGGACCAATGATATTGTTGTCTTCTACGCCAACCATTGTTGCTTCGACGATCATAGTCACCAGGAGTGCGAAAGAAAATACCTGTGCAGTGATAGCGCTACTTTGAAGGGAAAGTTTCATTGCATACAAAGTCAGGAGGGACCTGTTAAATACACCTATTTGAGAACGCAAAGCTGTCGTCACCCGAAACATGGTATTATCGGATCCCAAGGATCTACTCTCGGTGTTTTTAGATCCCTGAAGCACCGGTCATCGTCTTTGTCGATTAGGATGAAGAGTTCGACGAGCGAACTAGCCCATAGACACAGCCCACTGAGTTTCTCGCTGGATCTTCTCAGTGGGTCGCAATTCCGATCCAGTGGTGGATTCTGCGAAGCACTGCTCTTGCTAGGGCTAGTGTTAGCAAATTCTGTCAGGTTGAGCTTCTGAGCTCAGCTAACCGATTAACTCATAAAAAATCTATTTAAAACACATTATTAAAATACAATACTCAGATAAATAACCCTATTCACAGTCAGCTAGACCAAATATTGAAGAAATACATACCGCACCAATACATCCCATTATAATGTTTCCGGTCTTCAAATCGAAAATAAAACAGCATGTCTCCAATTTAGGGAGGCCCATTGTTCTGGAACATAATGATTATTGGATATGAAAATGTTGTAATACATTCTCATTTACTTGTATTTAAACTGATAAGTAGGTCAGTAGCACGCAAATTTTATTAGCATTTCTAAAATGCACGTTTCAAAGATCAGGTGTCGTTTAAATTTTTACTATTGTTACGCTTGAAGGAATGCAGAGAATAAAGTTATATCTATCTTCTTTTTTTTTTGTTGCCCTTGTTGGCAGACGAGCATACGGTCCACCCGATGGTGAGTGGTTATCGTCGCCCATGGACTTCAGCATCGCCAGGGGCGGAGTCAAGCCGCTGCTGCCTACCGTGCCTATCTTGACTGTAAGCAGCACGGCACGCAATCTATCGTAATTAAAATCGAATTAAAGCCGCTGGCTCGCGGGAAAGCTGTAAAGTATACTGTGAATATTTGATCCATGAAACATGAGCTTACTGCAGTGAACATAGATGAACGAGATTGTGGGCTGATTTACAAACTCGCATTAGTGGTAAGGCATCTTGCGACTCCGCATGGGTAGGCACCGCTCCGTCTAGTTCTAATATCCCAAGGTAGGTGGTGGTATTCATAGTGTGACATCTGTAGTCCCCCCATTTTTAAGACAAGTGAGCCATGTATCACGATCATCCCTTTATCAGATAAGGCACATCATCATTATCACTTCATTTGTACTGGTGACACATTCCTATATTGCTTAAGGCGAAGTAACCTCATGATTCCGGCTTAAAATTACTCATAATTGTACTGTAATTTATGGTAATAAAATCTTTTGTCTCAAACGGTACAGTTGCATTTGGGATACGGTCTCTAATATCCGGTTAGCCCCTGAACGACAACTATACTGTGAACTTAATTGCTTATCTATACTTAATATTACAAAGCGGAAGAGTTTGTTCGTATGAACGCGCTAATCTCAGGAACTACTGGTCCAATTAGAAAAATTCTTTCAATGGTAGATAGGCCATTTATTGAGGAAGGCTATAGGCTATATAACACCACGGTAAGACCAATACAAGTGGAGCAGCAATAAAGAATGTTCCAAAATAGGGGTTTAAGTAGCTCCTTAACATTCTATAATTCAAAGATATTTTCACTTTCTACGTAAGTGAAGTGGGAGGTAAAATTTAGCGTTATGCCAAAGTAACTATTCCACGCGGACGTAGTCGCGGGCAAAAGTTAGTCTTTAGTAATGATGGAAATTTCGGCAGCGACATAGCAGAATCTAGTGCCGATGATATAGATCTGTCATATTTACTAATGACCAGTTTGAATTAAAGTAACATAGCTAAAGTTTAGCTTATACTGTAACCGCATCGTAACGAATTATGATGGGGATCACACCTGAAGATAACTCCTTTCGAGATATACAAACTTATTATCGTTAGCACATAGCAGCTGGACAAAGACTTCCTCTAAGTTACGCTATAATAACCGGTCCTATGGTGCATGCTTCCAGCGAGTTCCGACAACCTTTAAAACCGTCAGGACACCTTGTCGAAGGCCTATCCACGCTGCATCTTCCGGTACACGATCGACACTAGAGAGCATTTTTTAGCTCTGTACTACTAGCAATTATGTTCCGTAAGAGTAATTAATTAAATACGTAATTAAGCTTAGTAACTGAAGTTGACGGTGCTGCAAAAATGATTACCGTAGAGCCAGCTTTAGTTCTAAAGCTCTCCTCTTTTGTTAACACTACAGCCTTCCTCCTCCAATGATCATGAGTCTGATACACTTTTTCATTAAACGAACGAAAAATAGAACTGTTTTATGCACGAGATCGATAAAACGAGCTTACTGCCCAAGCGGTGCTAAGTGGGTTGAACGCATACACGTCGGGCAGTCTAAATAAATTATATAAAGACCCTCCCGCCCTTCAAACCTGAATGATGCGGCAGGAATAGAAAGGTTGGTTGGTACCAACCCGTCCGGGCGTAAATAACGCCCTAAATAAAGTAATATTTTACGAGCACCACCGTACCTTAAAAATTAATTTGAACTTTGAGCTTTGACTAAGCGACACTTACAAGTGTGTCTACAACGGTAGTTATGTGTATACTGTGGCAGGAATCTGTGAGATGACTGGGATATAGACGGACCAAAGATTAAAAGTACGTATATGTAGACTAGTAAGTTTCGATATTTTTTTATGTTTGATTAAAACAGTATAATTTAAAGTTAAAGTTTATAGTTTAAATCCTGCCATCATTGGTACACAGGAACAGAAAATCCGCGTAATACAAAGCTTGTTACAATGTGGAACTTACATTGTAGTTTGGTAAGTTTTTTTAACAATCAGCGGTGAGGCGTGAATGAGAGATTATTATTTTTGATATGACCATATGCAAAGCTGGCGCCATTGATACTTCCGAAGAGGCGAATATAATAATAATATATATAATACGAACAGGCTAGGAATATGCCCTATCACCAGTACTTTACAGCTTTGATACGACAGTTACGAATACACGGTGTTATTCCTTCGTGAACTTATTAGGCAGCGGCTTGGCTCTGCCCCTGGCATTGCTGAAGTCCATGGGCGATGGTAACCACTCACCATCAGGTGGGCCGTATGCTCGTCTGCCTACAAGGGCAATAAAAAAAAAACTCAAGTCAAGCAAGTCTTAAGGCAGCATCCCCTTACAACATTTTTTATGAACGCTTAAACTAATGATCACGTTTACGGTCAACCAGGTGTAATATTGTTACCAGAGCCCATAGACATCAAGGTAAATGTAGCTATCCCTTTTGAGACTTAAGTTTCAGTTCTATGGCCAACGGCTGCTGCTACACCCTTCAAAACTGAACGCATTACTGGTTCGCGGCCGATATATAGGCAGGGCAGTGTAGAAACAGAGTTTATGTATCACATACAATTAGTGTCCATCGCTTATTATAATCAGTCAGTCGTACGTATCCTGTCCGACACGGAGGACACTTGTGACATTAATTTTGTGTTAATATACGCGAGTTAATTTGAAACTAACTGGTTTTGTTTACTTATGACAGCCACAACCTTACAACACTTACTAACCGTTCAGTAATAACTTAACTTTAACGGCCGTCTGGTGTAGTGGTAAATGACATGGTCACTACACAAGGGGGTCGCGGGTTCGAATCCCGCCAAGGGAAGATATTTGTATGATAAATATAAATATATTTTCCAGGGTTATGGATGTATATTAAATATATGTATGTGTATAATAAAAATCTTACATTTATTTCCGTTATCTGGTACCTGTAACACAAGTTCTTTACGAACTTATCACGGGACCAGTTAACGTGGCGTGATTGTTAGTAAATATTTATATTTATTTATGAATGTTTAGGCACACAAAACGTACTACCAGTAAACTTGGTATCTATATACGATATTTGAGCATCGGCATATTTGCATAGCGTACTGTTATAAGACGGCCCTGTACCCTTTACTGCTGACACATCCCTATTTCCCTGCTCAGTCAGTGTTTCTAGTGGCCAGCAGTAAACTACAATTCCCATTAGCCTCAGTCCATTTTCGATCTCCGTCGCGACAACACGTTTGTTGGTTTAAAAGTTTTTTTTTAAAAAGGGAATATCCAGAACCCGTATAACAATTTGGTGGCAGCTGAAAGGGATTTTAAATATCCCAGGACGTCTCCCAAGTGGCTAGTGAACCAAAGTGACACAGAAGTGGAAAAGTGTTTCTTCCCGCGACTGGACTGGACTCACCATCACCAACGGAACACCTCCGTAATGTTTTACCGATTATCCATTATATATCTGTAAGTGTCTCAAAATATTTTCGTGAAGTGAATCTGAACAATATCAACGCCAAAAATCACAATCAGCAATCAGCCGCTCGCTCAAGTCTCGCGTTATCGGCCGCATTCCATTGAAACAATAACCGAGCCGAGTATTTTGTTATGACTACCAAAGAGGAATCCAGACGCCTTAAACCGGACGCTGATAACATGGATTTAAACATTCTATTCAAATTTATTAAACCTTTCGATGGATCACGAGAAAGGCTAGTGCCGTTCATCAACAACTGTCAGAGTGCCTATGACCTAGCAACCGACGCAAGAAGACCCGCCTTATTAAAATATATACTAAGCCAATTAGAGGGCAAAGCGGAAAGTGCTTGCTCAATTAAAGAATTCGAAACGTGGGAGCAGCTTTCCGAGTTTTTGACCACTCAGTTTGGTGAAAAGAAGCACTATTCTGCTTTGCTCTCCGATCTACAGAGTTGTTATCAAAACAACGACTCGGTCAATCAGTTCGCATTACGAATCGAATCTTGCCTATCCAAACTATTAACTGAAATTAACATTTCACTAAAAAAGAAAAGCGAACTCGTTGGTCGCGTCGCTGCTATGCAGGATTTAGCCTTACATCATTTTGTCATGGGCTTAAAGCCCCAAATTTCCACAATCGTGAGATGTCGTGACCCAGGTGACCTAAACGAAGCTATCAACTTTGCCCTTTCCGAAGAGAAAATTTTAGAGGCCTCACAAAGGAAGCATAACTTTATTCCGGGGCCCTCTAATAAAAACACGTATTCACGTCCCAATTACCGACCAAACCAACCTAGAGATTACCATCAGTTTAGACCGGTAACGTTTAACCACAACATAAATCGCCCGTCAACCAATAACACCAACCCAAGCAGTAACAGTTCGTATTTCTGCAGATACTGCAAGGCCAACGGCCATACTCTTGAAAACTGTCAGAAGCGTGAATTCAACAACAAAAGATTTCAAATAAACCAAAATCCGCGCACTTTCCAACCTCGACTAAACAATGTCCCTACTAATCGTATTAATTTCACAGAACACCTCACGAATACCCATGACGTAATCCACGATGTTAACGATGAAGGAATAGACACAGTCGATACTTTAAACTAGATCCTGGCTCGCGTAGGTGCTGTCCGGGTCAATATACAAAAAGCAGCACATTTAATCA